TGTGGGGTTGTGTGCTGCACGGGGCTGTGAGGGCGTGTTAGGTGGATGGTGTGAGGTGTGGGGTTGTGTGCTGCACGGGGCTGTGAGGGCGTTGTCAGGGGATGGTGTGAGGTGTGGGGTTGTGTGCTACACGGGGGTGTGAGGGCGTGTCAGGGGGACAGTGTGAGGTGTGGGGTTGTGTGCTACACGGGGCTGTGAGGGTGTGTCAGGGGGACAGTGTAAGGTGTGGGGTTGTGTGCTACACGGGGCTGTGAGGGTGTGTCAGGGGGACAGTGTGAGGTGCGGGGTTGTGTGCTGCACGGGGCTGTGAGGGCGTGTCAGGTGGATGGTGTGAGGTGTGGGGTTGTGTGCTACACGGGGCTGTGAGGGCGTGTCAGGTGGATGGTGTGAGATGTGGGGTTGTGTGCTACACGGGGGTGTGAGGGTGTGTCAGGGGGACAGTGTGAGGTATGGGGTTGTGTGCTACACGGGGCTGTGAGGATGTGTCAGGTGGATGGTGTGAGGTGTGGGGTTGTGTGCTACACGGGGGTGTGAGGGCGTGTCAGGTGGATGGTGTGAGGTGTGGGGTTGTGTGCTGCACGGGGCTGTGAGGGCATGTCAGGTGGATGGTGTGAGATGTGGGGTTGTGTGCTACACGGGGGTGTGAGGACGTGTCAGGGGGACAGTGTGAGGTGTGGGGTTGTGTGCTACACGGGGGTGTGAGGGCGTGTCAGGTGGATGGTGTGAGGTGTGGGGTTGTGTGCTACACGGGGGTGTGAGGGCGTTGTCAGGTGGATGGTGTGAGGTGTGGGGTGTGTGCTGCACGGGGCTGGAGGGCATGTCAGGTGGATGGTGTGAGATGTGGGGTTGTGTGCTACACGGGGGTGTGAGGGCGTGTCAGGGGGACAGTGTGAGGTGTGGGGTTGTGTGCTACACGGGGGTGTGAGGGCGGTGTCAGGCGTGGATGGTTGTGAGGTTGTGGGGTTGTGTGCTGCACGGGGGTGTGAGGGCGTGTCAGGGGGACGGTGTGAGGTGTGGGGTTGTGTGCTACACGGGGGTGTGAGGGCGTGTCAGGGGGATGGTGTGAGGTGTGGGGTTGTGTGCTGCACGGGGCTGTGAGGGCGTGTCAGGTGGATGGTGTGAGGTGTGGGGTTGTGTGCTGCACGGGGCTGTGAGGGCGTGTCAGGTGGATGGTGTGAGGTGTGGGGTTGTGTGCTACACGGGGCTGTGAGGGCGTGTCAGGGGGACAGTGTGAGTCAGGTTGTGTGTTACATGGGGCTGTGAGGGCGTGTCAGGGGGACAGTGTGAGGTGTGGGGTTGTGTGCTACACGGGGCTGTGAGGGCGTGTCAGGGGGACAGTGTAAGGTGTGGGGTTGTGTGCTACACGGGGCTGTGAGGGCGTGTCAGGTGGATGGTGTGAGGTGTGGGATCGTGCGTACCCGGGGCGGGTGTGTGAGGCGTGGGGCCGTGCGTACCCGGGGCGGGTGTGTGAGGTGTGGGATCGTGTGTACCCGGGGTGGGTGTGTGAGGCGTGGGGCCGTGCGTACCCGGGGCGGGTGTGTGAGGTGTGGGATCGTGCGTACCCGGGGCGGGTGTGTGAGGTGTGGGATCGTGTGTACCCGGGGTGGGTGTGTGAGGCGTGGGGCCGTGCGTACCCGGGGCGGGTGTGTGAGGCGTGGGGCCGTGAGTACCGGGGCGGGTGTGTGAGGCGTGGGCCGGGTACCGGGCGGGTGTGTGAGGCGTGGGGCCGTGCGTACCCGGGGCGGGTGTGTGAGGTGTGGGATCGTGTGTACCCGGGGCGGGTGTGTGAGGCGTGGGGCCGTGCGTACCCGGGGCGGGTGTGTGAGGTGTGGGGCCGTGCGTACCCGGGGCGGGTGTGTGAGGCGTGGGGCCGTGCGTACCCGGGGCGGGTGTGTGAGGCGTGGGGCCGTGCGTACCCGGGGCGGGGGGTGTGAGGCGTGGGGCCGTGCGTACCCGGGGCGGGTGTGTGAGGCGTGGGGCCGTGCGTACCCGGGGCGGGGTGTGTCAGGTGGACGGTGTGAGGTGTGGGGGCGTGCATACCCGGGGCGGGTGTGTGAGGCGTGGGGCCGTGCGTACCCGGGGCGGGTGTGTGAGGCGTGGGGCCGTGCGTACCCGGGGCGGGTGTGTCGGGTGGCTGCAGGAGTGATCCCGCTGCCGCCCCCCAGCCATCTCTGCTGCTCTGCCTATCAAGGGAGCGCCCGCCCACCTTTCCTGACTCTGCGCCTCCTTTGCTCCCGCCCCCGCGGCCAGGACGAGACCCTCAAGGGGAGCTTCCTTTCGGCGGCCATGATGCTGGCGAGATCCCTCAGGCAGGAGCCGGGCACCCAGAACTACCGGTTCTCTCAGATCCCGGAGCTGGTCCAGTGTCTGCTGGTGCGGGGCATCCTAACCCCGCCTGGGGGCGCGGCTGGGAGGGGCCCTGGAGGAGGGGGTGGGGCCCCTGGCGTGGTGGGCGTGTCCCCAGGGGAGGTTGCCTGTCCGGGAGAGGTGGACAGGTCCCAGTTGGGGTGGGCGGGTCTCCGGAGAAGTAGGCGGGTCTCCGGAGAGTTGGGCGTGTCCCCGTCAGGGTGGGCGGGTCCCGTGGGCTGGGCCCCACGCCGCCTCCTGTCCGTCTGCCCTCCCAGTGCGTCCTGCAGCAGGAGCCCAACTTCCCGGGGTCGGTCTTCCGGCAGAAGGCAATCCTGGTCATTGCGGAGCTGAGGTAGCTCCTCCTGGGCCCAGGGACGGGCAGCCCTGTCCGCAGGCGGAGGTGGACGGGCGCGGGCGGGCGATGCAGCAGGGCTGGGCAGGCCGGGGCTGGGCCGCCGTCTCCCGGGCTGGCGCCTTGGCTTTGCCTCACGGGCAGCACAGAGGGAGCCCTGATCCTGGCCACGCCCATCTCCATCCAGGGCCCGGTCACCGGACAGTGCCTGGGTTTTCTCCCAAGCAAATGTCGCCGAGCCCAAGAGCTCCCTGGCCAGCCCCAGGCCAGGCCATGTCAGTCCCCGGGGGCGTTGGGTCCCAGAGCGGGGCTGCAGACAGTGAGAGCCCCCCCGCTTTCCGTGCAGCAAGCTGCGGCCCCACCTGAAGCCCCTGGTGAAGGCCAGGGTCCTGCACGTGTGTTTCAGAAGCGTGTTCGAGCTTCCGCCCGCGGACCCGCAGGCGGCCCCGGAAGTCACGGTGACGCCCCGCCCCACCCCGGGTGTGGGTGCCGGGGGCCCCGCCTGGCGGGCGGGGGGGGGTGAGGGAAGCGTTCTGGCGCAGGCTCGGGGTCCCCTGGCTCTGGGTCCTGCCCGCTGCCCTGGGGCCCTGGCCCCCCGCCGCTCCCGGGGGCTGTGAGATTTTAGGGACCCCACTCATCAGCCCCGCGCTGCGCTGGCCAGCGGCCGGGACCCTGCTTGTTCTGCAGGGAGCTGGTGGACGCTGGCTGTGCCTCCAAACACGGGGAGCCCTGCGCTGCGGCCACGCCCCCCTTGGCTGGGGGCTCCTGCTCCCCGGAAGCAGTGCCAAGAGAGAAATAAAGTTGGGGTGCTGCGTGAGGGAGGGGCGGGGAGGTAGGGGGCCTGGCTCTCGCTGCTTGCTCTGGTGGGGGGAACCCCGCGGAGGGTCTGGGGAGGCCCTGCCCACCACCGTCTTTCCAGTAGGCACCCTGTGAGTCCCAGCAGCCAAGGGCGCCACGGGGGCCGGGGGGCCAGGCAGGCGGGCTGCGGGGGTGGTTCTCAGCCGAGTCCAGACCCAGCAGCCCTGCTTCCTGTGCCTGTGTGGGATCCGTGCCCCTCACCCCAGCCCCTGGGAGCTTCCTCCCCCCCAACGCCCAGCCCCCGCGGAGAGCACTTTACAGTTTGCAGTTTTGAGATTTCTTGGTTTTGCGTCTTCTCGGAAAGGCAGACAGACGCCTGCTGCTCCACTCCCCAGAGGCCGGGTGGACACTCGGAGCTTGGGATTCGTTTGGGTCTCCATGTGGGTGGCAGGGGCCCCAGCACTTGTCACCTGCTGCTCCCGGGGCGCAGGCCAGCAGGGTGCTGGACTCAGAAGCAGAGCGGGGCTTGAGCCCAGGCGTCGGCGGAGACGGAGATGTCGGGTGCCGCACACCCTGCGCTGATTCAGACGCGCAGCGGGGAGGGGCATTTATTATTCTTCTTTTTAGCAAACTGCCCAGCTGTTTTCCAAAGTGGCCAGGCTCCCTCGGTGCCTCTGCCCCGCCCCCGCCGGCACCTGTGAGCTCCTGCCTGTCAGGACAGACGTTGGGTTTGGTCCAGCGCCAACACGGCCAGTTCCGAGCCGGCGCCTTTGCATTCTGCCTCGGTTCCAGAGAGCTTCGGGGTTGAGGCCGGAGTTCCTGGGAGCCGGCCCGCGTGGACGTGGACGATCTCCAGGCCAGGCTCCCGTCCACTCCTGTTGGCCGCTGAGATGCAGTGCGGGAGCCGCTCCCCGCCAGGTGGAGCCCCTCCTTGCAGTCTGCCGGTCGCTCCTGCACTTGCTTGGAGTTCTGCCATTAGGTCTAGAAGCTTCTAGAAGTCCCCCTGCTGACACGGCCCGGCTCTGCCTGGCTGTGCGGCGCTGGCTCCGGCTCTCACCCGCGAGGTTCAGCATGGTGGAGCTTTCAGGTCTTTGACGTTCAACCCCAGGGCGCCACAGGATCTCAGTGGGTCCCAGGAGGCGGCTCGACCCTCTTAGCCGAAGGCGCCCCGAGAGCGCTTAGAAAAGTGGAGGAAACGTCAGACCTTAAGCTGTGCCCCCAGCATGAGCCCCACCAGCCGGAGATACTTCTTGTTAGGGACACCGGAGGCCGTCCCTTGGACCCGTGGGCGTGGGACACAGCCCAGCCCCCGCAGCCGCCCTTCCAGTATTACCTGCAGAAGGGTGGGGCCCTGTGAGCACTTGCATAAAAATGTATTTTATTCATTTGAAAGGCAGGGTTAGAGAGAGGTGGGGGAGAGAGAGAGAGAGGTGGGAGAGAGAGAGAGAGGGAGGGAGAGAGGGAAGGGTGGGAGAGAGATGGGGGTGGGGTGGGGGGTAGGGGAGAGAGAGAGGTGGGAGAGAGAGAGGTGGGGGAGAGAGAAGTGGGAGAGAGAGAGGTGGGAGAGACAGGTGGTGGGAGAGAGAGAGGTGGGGGAGAGAGAAGTGGGAGAGAGAGAGGTGGGAGAGACAGGTGGTGGGAGAGAGAGAGGTGGGGGAGAGAGAAGTGGGAGAGAGGGAGAGGTGGGAGAGAGAGAGAGGGAGGGAAAGAGGGAAGGGTGGGAGAGAGATGGGGTGGGGGAGGGGGGTAGGGGAAAGAGAGAGGTGGGAGAGAGAGAGGTGGGGGAGAGAGAAGTGGGAGAGAGAGAGAGAGGGAGAGGTGGGAGAGAGAGAAGGAGAGAGGGAGGGGTGGGAGAGAGAGAAGGAGAGATGGAGGGGTGGGACAGAGAGGAGAGAGGGAGGGGTGGGAGAGAGAGGAGGTGGGGGAGAGAGAGGTGGGAGAGAGACAGACAGACAGAGAGAGGTCTTCCATCCGCTGGTCCACTCCCCAATTGGCCGCAACAGTTGGAGCTGCACTGATGTGAAGCCAGGAGCCAGGAGCTTCTTCCAGGCCTCCCACGCGGGTGCAGGGACCCAAGGACCTGGGCCATCTCCCACTGCCCTCCCAGGCCACAGCAGGGAGTCAGCACCATATCGGATGCCGGCCTCACCCGCTGTGCCGCGGCGCTGCAGACTTTAAGGTTACGAAGCAGAAGTTAGAAGGAGCCGGGTCAGCACCGCAAGTGGGTTCGCCGGATGCACTTCCCTGTGGGACGCTCAGAAGTCGGCCGGGTCGTCGTGCTGGGAGAGGACCCCGGGGACGCTTTCCAGGGAGCTTTTCCGGCAGAGCCGCGGTGGGCCCTGGAGAGCCTCTGCCGCCGTGGTCCTGGGCAGTCAGAGCGCTGCTGCCTGGCCTGTGCTCTCAGCCGGTCCACGCTGGCTCCGCCTCCCGCTGACCATGGCCCTGACTGCGCCATCGTCCCGGGCTCCACCTCCTGCTCCAGTCCTCTGGGGAAGCTGCCCTCGGCCACACACACACATGCACACGCATGCGCACACACACCAGTGCTGGCAATTCCTCCCACTGCTCCGCTCTCTCCTGTCTGCAGCCGATCCGGGGCCACCGCGGGGGCACTGGGGACGCAGCAAGTCTGCCCCGCTGTGACTATTCCGTGGGAACCGAGGGGCTGGGCCACCCGGGATGTCTGTGGGTGGTGTTGATGTCTGCATCGCCACCCTGTGCCTCCACACGCGAAGCCACAGTGACCTCACAATCCCTGGGCCAAGCGCACCACAGACGCCACGCTGGTCCTGGCTCTGGCGGTAGCAGGATCCATGTGGCCGACCTCTTTCCCAAGCCATGTCAACCTCCCCAGACCACAGGCTATCCCCACACAGACACGCCCACCCGAGCTCCTCCCATGCACTGACACGCCCACCCGAGCTCCTTCCCCTACAGACACGCCCACCTGAGCTCCTCCCCACAGACACACCCACCTGAGCTCTTCCCCACAGACACACCCACCTGAGCTCCTCCCCACAGACACACCCACCTGAGCTCCTCCCCACAGACACGCCCACTCGAGCTCCTCCCCACACAGATACGCCCACCCGAGCTCCTCCCCACACAGATACGCCCACCCGAGCTCCTCCCCACACAGATACGCCCACCTGAGCTCCTCCCCACAGACACGCCCACCCGAGCTCCTCCCCACAGACACGCCCACCCGAGCTCCTCCCCACAGACACACCCACCCGAGCTCCTTCCCCTACAGACACACCCACCTGAGCTCTTCCCCACAGACACACCCACCCTGAGCTCCTCCCCACAGACACACCCACCCTGAGCTCCAAGACACACCACCCTGAGCTCCTCCCCACAGACACACCCACCTGAGCTCCTCCCCACAGACACGCCCACCCTGAGCTCCTCCCCACAGACACACCCACCTGAGCTCCTCCCCACAGACACACCCACCTGAGCTCTTCCCCACAGACACACCCACCCTGAGCTCCTCCCCACAGACACGCCCACCCTGAGCTCCTCCCCACAGACACACCCACCTGAGCTCCTCCCCACAGACACACCCACCCTGAGCTCCTCCCCACAGACACACCCACCTGAGCTCTTCCCCACAGACACACCCACCTGAGCTCTTCCCCACAGACACACCCACCCTGAGCTCCTCCCCACAGACACGCCCACCCTGAGCTCCTCCCCACAGACACACCCACCTGAGCTCCTCCCCACAGACACACCCACCCTGAGCTCCTCCCCACAGACACACCCACCTGAGCTCCTCCCCACAGACACACCCACCCTGAGCTCCTCCCCACAGACACACCCACCTGAGCTCCTCCCCACAGACACACCCACCTGAGCTCTTCCCCACAGACACACCCACCCTGAGCTCCTCCCCACAGACACGCCCACCTGAGCTCCTCCCCACACAGATACGCCCACCCGAGCTCCTCCCCACAGACACACCCACCCTGAGCTCCTCCCCACAGACACGCCCACCCGAGCTCCTCCCCACAGATACGCCCACCTGAGCTCCTCCCCACAGACACGCCCACCCGAGCTCCTCCCCACAGACACACCCACCTGAGCTCCTTCCCCTACAGACACGCCCACCTGAGCTCTTCCCCACAGACACGCCCACCTGAGCTCCCCACATGCAGCCACGCCCACCTCGAGTCCCACCCACACAGACACGCCCACCCGAGTCTGCCCTCAACTGTTCCACATGCATTTCTGTGAATCTTTGAAGACTCCTAGTACAAGGCAGTGGGATGTAGGCTTCCATTTTGTTTTGTAAATATTGATTTGTGTGACAGGCAAAGGGCCAGAGAGAGGGAGAGGGAGAGACAGTGGAGAGAGAGAGAGAGAGAGGGAGAGGCGGTGGAGAGAGAGAGGGAGAGGGAGAGGCGGTGGAGAGAGGGAGAGGTAGTAGAGAGAAAGAGAGAGGGAGAGGCGGTGCAGAGAAAGAGGATCCTCCGTGCGCTGGTTCACTCCCGAAATGCCTGGGGCTGGGCCAGGCTTCAGCCGGAGCCGGGAACTCCATCCTGGCCTCCCACTGCATCGGCAGGAAGCTGGCTCGGGCCTGGGGGTGGCTTTGGACCTGCCAAGCTCAATGTGAGAGGGAGGGTGACGGGAGAGGGCCCCCGGCGTGGGACCCGACCCGACACCACCAGGCTCGGCAGGGAGGGGGGCTGTGGGGCGGGGCCAGAGACCTGAGGTGGCCTCTTGCCCTCAGACTCTGTACAAGGAGACCCTGTGCGCTCTCCACCTGCTCCTCCGCACCTTCCTCAGCGAGGACATGGGCGTGAACGAGGTCTGCTTCCTGCTGCAGGTGAGCGGCCGCAGGGCAGGGGGCGGCCAGGCAGAGCCTCCCGGAAGGGCTGAGCTGGACGCTTCAGGTGGTCCCAGGCCCTGCCAGGCAGGGGGCGCCCTCCCTGACCACCTCCAGTGCCACTGCGTCCAGAAGAGCCTGGTGGGGCTGGCAGCCCTGGGGATGGGGTTGCGGGCACAGCCTGGGGGAGCTGCAGGCAGGGGCACAGCAGGTGTGCAAGATGGCTTCCTGGAGGCGGCGGCACTGCGCTGTGCCTGAGGAGTGGTGCCGTCAGCCAGGTAGGAGGGTGATAGAGAGGTGGGCCGGGCCCAGAGCTGCGCACCTGGTCCAGGAGGAGAGTGGGAGCTGAGTCCTTCTGGAAACAGAGGCCAGGAGCAGGTGCAGAACCCAGCCGGGCTCTAGGGGCTCCTGGTGGGGGCCGGCGCCCCAGCACACCTCCGGGCTCCTCCACTCACCTTTTTGTGCACCCCGCAGCCCACTCCCTGCCCCACCCGCGCCCTGAGACACGCCCACCCCAAGCTCCACCCCACATCCTCAGGAACGCCCACACAGAGCTCTGCCCCTTACTCAGACATACCCACCCCGAACTCCACCCACCCAGAGCTCCGCCCCATCCCCAGACACGCCCACCCCAGCTCTCTGCAGGCGCCCGGCTCCGTGACAGGCATGGCTATGGGGCGGGGCTCTGGTGGCTGGCAGGTCCTGAAGGTCCCTGTCTCTGTCCCAGCACACAGAGCCCTGGCTGAGATCGGACAGGAGCCACGAGCGCCAGCGCGTGGTGCAGTGCATCTTCCGGCTCCTGCAGTACGTGGTGGACTCCCTGAAGTTCGCCGTGAGTGCGCTGCACTCTGGCCTCGGGGAGGACAGTGGCCAGGTGGGCTCAACCCCCAGAGCACCAGGGTAGGGGAAGACCAGGGATCCGCGCCCCGCACCCGCTGGTTCTTGCAGCCAAAATTCACTGCGCACCGGCCGCCGCGCTGTGCACGGAGAAGACAGGGTCCCTCGCCCTGGAAGCCGGGGCCGAGAAGGGCGGTGTGCGGGAAGCCCTGCGGGAAGCTGTGCGCGCGCGCGCGGGGGTGGGGGGAGCTGTGCGGGAAGCGGCGCGCGGGAGGCAGCAGAGGCACCAGCGCAGGTGTCGCGGACACGGGAGCAGGGGCGAGGGCTGGCCCGCCCCCCAGTGCCAGCAGGAACCAATGCGGGGACCCGGAGCAGGTGTGGGCGCGCGACGGGAAAACGTGGGCCGCCCTCCCCGCGGAAACCGGAGGCTACGGTGCGTGAGGGGCCACCGTCCGGGCTCAGGGTCCAGCCCCAGCCTGGAGGGCGCACGTGCGGTGTGTGCCCCGGAACCGACAGTGCAGTTCCCAGAAGGCACGGGCGGCCGGCCTGGGAGCTCAAAGCACGGCCCACTCTCGCGAAGACCCAAGGCTCCATCGCGTCCACCCACACGCACCCGCAGCAGGCCACACGTCGCGCCTCACCACACAGCTCCAGACGGCTCCAGGCGCCATCGGGAGCCACGCACGCCCGCGCTCCTGCGCTGCTGGTGCCTGCCGGCCCGCGCCCCTGAGGCCAGGCCTCGCCTTGAGGACTGCTCCGCGGTGCCGGGAAGCGGGCACCCGAGAGCCGAGGAGGCGGGCAGGGCCGCGCGGGGGCCCAGTGCCTGCTTCTCCAGCGACTCCCGCCGCGTTTGGGCGGGTTTGAACCACGGTGCACGGCAGGCCATCAGCGCCACCCCGGAGGGTCGGGCGGCCCCTGGGGCCCCCGGGGTGAGGCTGGGTGAAGTGGTGCGTGCTGACTGCTCTGCGGGCCTGGCGGGGCCTGCAGGGAGCCGGGAGGCCGCCGCGTGGAAGTGGGGGGCGAGGTCACTTCCCGTTGGAAGCTGTTCAGAAACGGGGCACACGCACAAAATGGCGGCTTTCTGACGGTGTCGAGAGGGAGCCGGCGGCGAGAGGTCGCCTGGTGTGGGGAAGACGGGAGGAACCTCCATCAGGAGGACCAGACCCTAAAACTCAAAGCTTGAAGACAGGTGTTAAGAGGCTGGTGGGGGAGGTGTGCGGACTGTCGGTGACGTCACTGGGTCGCCAGCGCCCTACACTGGGGCGCCTGGTGTGCACCCCAGCTGCCGGCTTAGGTGCACCTGGGGAACAGCAGGTGATGGCCTGGGGGGCTGGGGTCCCTGCCACCCTCAGAGGAGACCCCGACTGAGTTCTGAGGCCCTGGCTGTGGCTGGGATTGGGGAGTGAACCAGGGATGGAAGACATCTCTGCCTCTGTGTCTCTCTCTGCCTTTGAAATGAAATGCAAATAAATGAAAATTGCATTCAAGAGCAGGTTAAGACCCATGCCGCCTGCAGTGCCGGCTTCCCGTGTGATTGTGGGTGCCGGCTGGAGTCCCGGCCGCTCCGCTGCCCAGCTGGCTCCCTGCCAATGCGCCGGGAAAGCAGCGGAGGACGGCCAAGTGCCTGCATAGAGCTCCCGGCGCCTGGCTTTGGCCTGGCCGCTGTGGCCGGCCATTTGGGGAAGCCCTGCCTCTCCCTGCGTCTTGGGAACTCTGCTTTTCAGATCAGTGAGGTGTTTGGGGAAGTCCCAGAATGTAAAGAAAGCGTGAACGCGACAGAGAATAGATAGGACGCGCCGACAGGTAAAGGCCAGCTCTTTAAAAAGAGCCAAATGCAGGTTTTGGAGACGGAATCCACTCTTTGGGCTGGAAAAGCCCCAGGATCAGTTTGCCGGCCGAGGAAAATGGCGGTGGGCCTGCAGCCGGGACCTGCCACAGGGGCCCGGGGCCGGCACCCGGGGGGGGGGGGCAGCGCTGAGGACCCCTGGGGGCAGCCCCTGCCGTGCTCACGGTGCTGCCTTTGGCAGGAAGGGGCCATGCCCTCTGCGCTGGGCCACCACGTCGGCCTGCTGACCCTGCTGTGGCGCGACAAGGAGGAGACGACCCGGAAGTACTCCCAGCAGTGCGTGACCCTCCTGCTGCAGCTCACTGTCCTGCAGAGGGGTGAGCAGGGGACGTGGGGGGCCTCACTCCCGCTCGGAGCGCTGGGCTGCCCCAGCGGCCAGGGAGGGGTCACTCCAGCTCCCCCCTCCCCCCCTGGGCGCGTCACAGCAGGGAGGATGGCGGTGTCCATGCGTCTCAGTAAACTGAAGCAAAGTGAAATTCGGGCGAGCAGAGACTGGGAGGTGAAACTCTACAGCGCCGTGAAGGTGAGGCCCTCGGGCGGGCCGGGGAGGGCACCTCACGTCTGCACCCCTAAGCACCTGCCCAGGGCCCCGGGCTCTCTGTGGCCCCTCCTGGGTGCTGGGGACAGGCCCCGCCTCCCCTGCACTGCTACCAAGGTCCCTGGCTCCCACGGTCCCCAGGGCACTTCTCCCGAGGGGGCGTCTGCGGGCCTGTGGCGCGCACACTTCCCACCAGAGGGCGAGGGCCGTGGCCGCCCGAGGGGTCCCCGGGGGGCAGGGTCTGCTCTTGGTGTTCAGGTGCGGAGGGACCTGGGTAAGAGCCCGGCCCACTGGTGAGCATGGGGGACCCCTGGGCCCCTCCCCTCGGCACAGGCCTTCGAGCGGGACCTGACCGTGGCCCAGCACACGCAGCTGGTGCTGACGCTGCTGCCGGGCCTGTGCAGCCACAGCCGCCTGAGCTGCGACCTGGCCTCCAAGCTCCTCCTGCTGATGTTCGAGGGGCCGGGACTCAAGCCGGAGCAGGTGGGCCCGAGGGCCTGGGGTGGCCACAGCTCCGGCCTCTGCCTGCTGCTGCCGCCCTGCGGGCCCCGGGCGGGGACAGGCCGGAGGCTGCTTTGCGCAGCCCTCAGCTCCGCACTGCCCCACGCCCAGCAGGCAGGAGCCAGGGCAGGGCCACGCGGGGGCGGCAAGGCTGGTGGAGGGGCCTCCGGGAGGCAGCAGCGTGCGGCCGGGCAGGAGCCTGTCTGAGGCCCCGCCCCGCCCCTTGGCCCTGCCTGGCAGGTGGTGGAGGTCCTGCAGAGCCTGTTCCAGCAGCTGCCCCACATCCCACTGCCGCACGTGCAGCAGGACGCGATGAGGGCCGTGACGGTTCTGGGCACCCAGCACCCACAGGAGACGGTCGAGGTGGTGCTGTCCCTGTGCCACCCCTCGGAGAGGCAGGTCTCTCGCCCAGCCCACTGCCTGCAGGGCCACCAGTCAGCAGGGGCCCTGCACGCCTCACAGTGACTCCCCAGCTGCCCAGAGCCCCAGGCCCGCCATGTCCCACGGGACCGAGGGCCAGCAGCGCCGCGGGCGGAGAAAGCTGCCAGGAGCCCGAGGGCTGTGCAGGCTCCACCCACCAGCGGCCCTGGCTCTGCCCCGCCCCTCGCTCTCAGGGGCAGCTTGCTGGGGTCCCCTGGCGGAGGGTGGGAGGCAAGTGCAGGTGGGGGATGGGCAGTGGGGCTCGCCCGCCGCCCTGCTGAGGGCTGACACGTCAGGGCGTGCGGGTCTTCACCCAGGGGTCCCGCTGGTGGCCACGGGGGTCGGGGAGCCCCTGTGTGCAGTGGGGCCGGCCGACAGCGGAACCGCCTGTCTCTGCAGGAGGACCTTGCCCCTGTGGAAGGCCCTGGCCACCAACCACCAGCTGGCCTGCAAGGTCATAACTCTGCTCTACGTGAAGCTCAAGTTGCGCCCCCCCCGGGGGCTCACCCGACCCAGCTCCCAGACCCAGCTCATCTCCCTGCTGGTGAGCCACTCCCTGAGCCCCTGCGGGGACCCAGGGGGACCCCAGGATGGCCCAGGGCTGTCCTCACCTAACCCCTGCCCTGCACACACAGGCTCCCCAGGCTCCTGGTCCGGGGCCTCCCAGCTGCCATCAGCGCTGTGGCTCCGTGGGGCACCCAACCCTGTCACGGCCAGCCACAACACGCACACCAAGGCCCCCTGCTGACAGCAGCGCCTCCTGGGCACACACGAGGAGGCAGGAGAGGGCCCTCGTGGCCGTAAACCTGACCTGCTCCCCGCGAGGGCGGCAGGGGGCTGGAGGGCAGAGAAGGCAAGCCCCGCGGGCTGTGGTCAGGGGGCGTGGCCATGGAAGGTCTGACTCAGGAGTGACCCTGTTAGCCCTGCACTTTGCAAAGTGGGCCCTGGGGTGAGGGAGGGCAGTGAGTGCCGTGCTGCCTCCAGGGACCGGCTGGGCAGGGGACAGGGTGACCACAGGGCTCATGAGAACTGGTGGTGGCAAGAGCCGGGGCAGGTTAGCCCAGCCCTGAGGAGTGGCTGTTGGGGTCAGCGCTGGTCACAGACTCCTGCAACTGGCACAGGAAGCCCGCAGGACTGGGGGCAGCCTGCGCCCCCCACCCAGACCCCACCAGGAAGGGCATCTGGAGCCAATGGTGGGGGCCGGTGAGAGCGTGCAGCAGTGTGGCGACCAGCCCGGGCGTAGGGCAGGGGCTCCCGGCCCTGTGCCTGGGCTGCTGTGGGTGGTGGTGGGGGCCCTCCAGGACCAGCCCAGGCGGCAAGAGTGGAGTCAGGTGTGGCTGTGTGGACAGGTCCCCGGGCCCTGCCCTGTCGCCCGCTGCAGGCCCTGGGCACCATCTATGAGCTCCTGTACACCCAGGAGTACAGGCAGACCATCCACTGGGCCTTCGCGGGCATCCTCCTGGGGCTGCTCACGCAGCTGCACTACCTGTTCGAGCTGGGTGTGGTGGAGGATGTGGCTGACTACCAGGAGGACATCCTGGACAGCAAGCCCCTCAGCCCCTTCAGGTGGGACGCCCGCCGGACCCCAGCCCTCTCTCCCTGCACCCCCGGGCCCCAGCCCCCTCTCCCTGCACCCCCGGGCCCCAGCCCCCTCTCCCTACACCCCTGGACTCCAGCCCCCTCTCCCTGTACCCCAGCCCCCTCTCCCTGCACCCCCAGACCCCAGCCCCCTCTCCCTGCATCCCCGGGCCCCAGCCCCCTCTCCCTGCACCCCTGGACCCCAGCCCCTCTCCCTGCACCCCTGGACCCCAGCCCCCTCTCCCTGTACCCCTGGACCCCAGCCCCCTCTCCCTGCACCCCCGGGCCCCAGCCCCCTCTCCCTGCACCCCTGGACTCCACCCTCCTCTCCCTGCACCCCCGGGCCCCAGCCCCCTCTCCCTGCACCCCCGGACTCCGGCCCCCTCTCCCTGCACCCCCAGGACCCCAGCCCCCTCTCCCTGCACCCCCAGGACCCCAGCCCCCTCTCCCTGCATCCCCGGACTCCACCCTCCTCTACCTGCACCCCCGGACCCCAGCCCCCTCTCCCTGCACCCCCAGGACCCCAGCCCCCTCTCCCTGCACCCCCAGGACCCCAGCCCCCTCTCCCTGCACCCCCAGGACGCCAACCCTCCCCTCCCTGCAGCCCCTCCCACACATCTGGGCAAAAGGCCCTGGGTTACCTGCTGGGGCCCAGGGGAGCAGGGGAGGGGCGCGTGAGGGGCGCCACAAGGTGGCAGCCTCGCCAGCCCCTGCACCTGCCCCAGGACGTGCCTGGAGGCCGTGAAGGGCCTCTTCTGGACCACCAGCTACTGGGAGGTCTTCGCCTACATCCAGCTGCTGCAGGGCTGGGCGCTCCTGGAGCGCCCGGACACCTACGGGGAGGGAGTGAGTCTCCTGGCCAGGTGAGCGGGGTACCCTCTCCCAGGCTCACCCTCCCTCGCAGCTCCAGGGTGCAGGGTGCAGGCTGCGCCTCCCCCGGCCGCGTCTCGCCGACAGGGCCATGGTGCAGTATGACTGCGAGGTCAAGGCTGTCCTGGGGCAGGCGGTCATCTCCCTGAAGAGCATGGAGGAGCGAGACAACGTGGTGGCCATCCTCCTCCTCACGGAGGTCAGCCCCTCGCCCACCGCTGCCCTGGCCAGCCTCGGGGAACTGGACGCCCCTCCGCCTCCTCCTACCCGGCTCATCTGAGATCTGCCTGGGGCTGCGCCCCTCCCCAGTTTCTCAACAGTGCGGAGGTCTTCCAGCAGGCATCCCGGAAGAAGATGGACACCCTGCTGAACCTGGGCCTGGGCCACTGCAACCAGCTGGTGCGGGCCATGAGCCTCAAGGGCCTCAGCAGCACCACCATGCACCCCAAAAAGGTGAGAGGAGGAGCCGCGGGCGTCCCACGGCGCCCCTCAGCGGAGGCCACTGCGGGCGCTCCCTCAAGCTCCCGCCAGCAGGGAGGGCGGGGGCGGGCGTGTCCTTTCTCCCCGAGGGCGGGGGTCCCAGGCCCCGCCTCTGCCCCGCCCCCGCCGAGCTGCCAGCGGCGGGAGCGCGAGTCCGGGGTCTCCCACAGGTGTTCCTGCTGCGGAACCGGCTGGCCGGGCTGCTGGACAGCTTCCTGCGGCCGGACACCAAGGACCTCTTAGGCCTGATGGGGATCCTGGGCGACATCCTGCACCGCCTGGGCCTGCAGGGCGCCGGCTCCGCCAGCATCAAACTCGCCCAGCACCTGCTGTCCTTGTTCGAGGATGTGAGCAGCCGGGCGGCCGCCGGGAGGGGGCGGCGGGGGCCAGCACCACCTGCACCGGCGTCCCCGGCCGCCCCGGGGCGCCTTCCGCCGGCGCGCGCCTGCGCAGTGCTGCCCAGGCCCGCCGGCCAGAGGAGCGCCTTCTGCCCTGGCCGGGCCTTGTGGGTTATGACCGGAAACCTGGCCCTGGGGAAATCAAGGCTCCGCCCAGGGCAAGTAGCCCCACCCACTCGCTGGCCATGGCCTTGAAGGCCCTGGGCTTCACCACGCTCAGTCCACACTGGGGAGGGGGAGGGGCGGCGGGGCGCTGGGCAGGGGAGCAGGGCAGGGCTCCTGGTTTAAACAGACCCTTGGGCAAGCCAGGGGCGGGGTGAATGGTTTTGGGGGTGATGAGCGCATGAGGCCTGGAGAAGCGTGGGGGGGGGGGCGAGGCGGGAGAGAGGGGCTCCAGGTGCGGGCGGGAGCAGAGGCAGGGGCTCCAGGTGCGGCCGCGTGTCCCCCAGGAGCGGGAGGAGGTGCGCAGCGCGGCCATCTTCCTGTTTGGAGATGTCATAGACAGCGGCAGCAGGAAGTTCCGGCAGGCGTTCAAGACCCTCGCCTTCCAGGCCGTGGTGCCCCTGCTCTTGCACATGGCTGACCCCTGCCCCGCCGTGGTCACGGTGAGCGCTGGTCCCGGCGAGGTGGGGAAGGCCCCTTGCTGGGCAGTGGCCTGGGCAGCCCCAGAGAGCAGAGGCCAGGGCTCGGCTGCCCTCCTGGAGTGGCTGCCTGGGCCGGGCAGGGGGCAGGGGGCAGGGGGCAGGCCTGGCCTCGCAGGAGAAAAGCAGAGGCCGGGTCTGAGTGACCATCCGGGACCCACACCCACTCCCCAAGGTTCCCCATTCCCCCCTGCTGGCGGCCCCAGGACCTTGGGGGCCTCGCTGGCCTGGGCACCACCCCTCCTCCCAGCACTGGGAGCCCGGCCGGCAGGGTCACTGCTGCTTCTACCTGCCCCGTGGAAAGGCATCCAGCTGCCGAGCACCTCTAGCCCTGGGCAGAGCGGGTCTCACGCCCCCAGCGGATCCCTAGGGGTGGCCTGGAGCCCCCGGCTCTGTCACACGGGCTCCAGCCTCCACAGGGAGTCCTGGCCTCCACAGGGAGACCCTCCGGGAAGCTGGCTGGCAGCCCTAGGTGCTGTGCTCTGTGTGGTCCGTTCCTGCAGCGTTAGCCCCTACTTCACCCAAGCCTCCGGCCCCCACGGGTGGATATGTAGGTTGCTGGATGAGTGGATGAGTGGGTGGATGGGTGGGCGGATGGATGAATGAGTGGGTGGGTGTATGAGTTGGTGGGTGGGTGGGTGGATGGATGAACGCATGGGTAGATGGATGAGTTTTGGGTGGATGGACGGTGGGGGCGTGGCTAGCTGACTGAACTGATGGATGCATGGTTGTGCGTGTGTGTAGACAGATGGATGGATGAGTGGATGGACGGATGGACTGGTGGGAGCATGGGTGTGTGTGTGTGGATGGAGAATGGGCGAGTGCATGCCTGGATTGATGGACGGGTGGATGGGTAGGTGGTGGATGGGTGGGTGGATGGGTAGGTGAGTGGATGGGTGGGTGGATGGGTGGGTGGATGGGTGTATGAGTAGGTGGTAGGTGGGTGAATGGATGGGGGGGTGGGTTTTTGGGTGGATGCATGGATGGGTGGGTGGCTAGCTGACCTGACTGATGGATGCATGGGCGTGTGTGTGGACAGATGGGTGGGTGGGTGGATGGACTGTGGGTGCATGGGTCTGTGCTGGATGGACAGATGGGTAAGTGGATGGAGAATGGATGAATGGATGCCTTGTTGATGTGTGAGTGGATGGATTGATGGATGGATGTGCAGGAGGCCAGCGCAGGGCAGAATGTAGCTAAGGTAGAGACCGAGGGTTCCAGCGATGGTTCAAGGGAGGAGGTGGTAGAGGCACCAGGGGCTGCAGTGGGAGACAGATCCGTCCAGGTCTCAGAAACTCCAGCAACAGGAGAAGCTCTGCGGACTCTCAGCGCCTCCCAGGGAGGGCCGGCAGAGTGCTCCCTGCACAGACGGGCACAGGTGGGGGGAGGCTGGCTCAGCAGGGGTGGGGGCAGAGGGTGCTCCCTGCACAGACGGGCACAGGTAGGGGGAGGCTGGCTCAGCAGGGGTGGGGGGCAGAGGGTGCTCCCTGCACAGACGGGCACAGGTGGGGGGAGGCTGGCTTAGCGGGGGTGGGGGGCAGAGGGTGCTCCCTGCACAGACGGGCACGGTTGGGGGAGGCTGGCTTAGCAGGGGTGGGGGGCAGAGGGTGCTCCCTGCACAGACGGGCACGGGTGGGGGAGGCTGGCTTAGCAGGGGTGGGGGGCAGAGGGTGCTCCCTGCACAGACGGGCACAGGTGGGGGGAGGCTGGCTTAGCAGGGGTGGGGGGCAGCGGGTGCTCCCTGCACAGACGGGCACGGGTGGGGGGAGGCTGGCTTAGCGGGGGTGGGGGGCAGAGGGTGCTCCCTGCACAGACGGGCACGGGTGGGGGGCAGAGGGTGCTCCCTGCACAGATGAGCACAGGTAGGGGGAGGCTGGCTCAGCGGGGGTGGGGGGCAGAGGGTGCTCCCTGCACAGACGGGCACGGTTGGGGGAGGCTGGCTTAGCAGGGGTGGGGGGCAGAGGGTGCTCCCTGCACAGACGGGCACGGGTGGGGGGAGGCTGGCTTAGCAGGGGTGGGGGGCAGAGGGTGCTCCCTGCACAGACGGGCACAGGTGGGGGGAGGCTGGCTTAGCAGGGGTGGGGGGCAGCGGGTGCTCCCTGCACAGACGGGCACGGGTGGGGGGAGGCTGGCTTAGCGGGGGTGGGGGGCAGAGGGTGCTCCCTGCACAGACGGGCACGGGTGGGGGGAGGCTGGCTTAGCGGGGGTGGGGGGCAGAGGGTGCTCCCTGCACAGACGGGCACGGGTGGGGGGAGGCTGGCTCAGCGGGGGTGGGGGCAGAGGGTGTTCCCTGCACAGACGGGCACAGGTGGGGGGCAGAGGGTGCTCCCTGCACAGATGAGCACAGGTAGGGGGAGGCTGGCTCAGCGGGGGTGGGGGGCAGAGGGTGCTCCCTGCACAGACGGGCACGGGTGGGGGGAGGCTGGCTCAGCGGGGGTGGGGGGCAGAGGGTGCTCCCTGCACAGACGAGCACGGGTGGGGGAGGCTGGCTCAGCGGGGGTGGGGGCAGCGGGTGCTCTCCGTCTGTTTCTGTCCCTGGCACGTGTCAAGCGCCTGCTGTGGGCAGAGCCTGGGGTTGGTGTTGGGGCGGAGTAGCAGCTGGGTGACTCGGGGAAGCTGGGGGCTCTGGAAATGAGAAGTGGGAACATGGCTCTGGGCTGCCAGGGTCTCCTGCCCCAGGCCCCCGACCAGGTGCCCACCAGCCCTGGAGGCTGCAGGCCCAAGCTGCAGGCGTGGGCAGGGGAGGCCCCTCTGCATCCTCCTGTGGCTGGACGGAGGCCCCCCTGTCCTCATGTGGCCAGGCAGATGTCCCTCTGTCCTCCCGTGGCCAGGGCAGCCCCTCCGCGTCCTCACGGGGTCGTCTCCTCCCCTCCTCCAAGGACACCGCGTGTGTGCAGGGTCAGGGCCCAGCGCACGGCCCCACTGCTTCTCAGTCACCCCCAGACAAGGCCGCGCCCCGAGGTCCTGGGACCCTGGGGGACTTCCTGGGGGGAGCAAGCGGCTGCCGGGTGTGGGCGTGCCTGTGGGAGGGAGGCGGGCACGCGAGGGCCAGCGGCCTCCTGTTGTGGCCGCAGAAGTCCAAGTCCACCCTCCTGCGCTGCGCCCTCCTGCTCAAGTGGGAGTTCCGGAAGGAGCTGTTTGGCAAGCTGGCGTGGGGCCGCGGCCCGGGGGCCGAGAACGACATTTTTGTCTACATGGTAAGGTGCGGGCCCTGGGCGGGCGGGCGGCGAGTGTGGTCACCAGAGCCCGTGGCGGGGGTGGGGAGGGGGCGGCGCCCTGCTTTTCCAGGGGCTCTGTCGCCGGGGAGCCCGGCCTGTGCCTCTGAGGCCCCCGGCAGGCAGGAGGGGACACTTTGGATTCCAGAGCCCGGGAAAGGCCCAGGCCCTCCAGCTGCCCCCGTTCTCACAGCAGCGCCATGGTCCCTGGGTGCTGTCCCTCCCGCGCGCCGGGCCCTGGGGCTTCCTCTGGGCACCCAGACGCGGAGGGTGTCTCTGGCCGGGGATGGCACCGCCCTGGATCTCTGGGCTCTCAGTGAAGAGCAGAAACAGACGCAGCTCCGCGGGGAGCCCGCCCACCCAGGACCAGGGCCCCTGCCCCTCCTCGGGCTCCGCCCAGCCCCGTTCCCGGGCCGGGGCTTCCTGCGGGCACCGTGGCGAGGGCGAGGCCTGGCCTGGACCTGGTGGCCCGCGCCTCTGCTCTGGACGGGCGGGGGCGGCTGTCGCCAGGGCTGCCCCGGCGCTGGGTGTCTCTGGGCGCGGAGGGGCACAGGCCAGGCTTGGTCTCACGCCTGGTTTCCTGCTGGCGTTCACGTCATGAGCCACGTTTACAGCACCGAATGGTCCGCTTCAGGCTGCCGCAGCTGGGACAGCCACACGCGCACAGTGGAGGGCGCAGGGAGGAGGGGGCGCGGGGCACTCCCGCCTTGGCACGCTTGCTGCACACGTGTGTGCTTCATCAGGGCCCTGGTTTGCGACTGAGGGGGGCCGCCGCTGCGGGCCTGCACAGGGGACCGTGGGGCGCTCTGTCCCCTGCGGCTGTGTGGGTGCCCCCCCCAGCCTTTCACCTGCCTCTGCTTCCAGGGTGGCTGAGGCCCCGCCCCTGTAGTGCTGGCGCCCCGGGGCGGGTCACATGGGCTAGAAGCGGGGTTCCCGCCCCGGCCGCCGGGCATCCCGTGGGCAGGGCCGTGAGGGGACCCGGTGCTGGGCGCCGCCCCGCAGCCCTGCCTCTGCCCTTATCTCCAGTCACCAGCGCCTGCGTCCACCTGCACGCCAAGCTGCTCTCCCTCCGCGGGCGCCTCAGCCCTTGTCTCTGTCCCCCGGCTGAGCCCCGGAGGCCAGGGAGGGGGGCGCGGGCAGAGCCGGCCTCCGTCCCAGGGCCCACCTGCCTCGTGGAGCTGCCCTTCTCTGTGGACTCTCGCCCACCTGGGTGGCCTCTTCCAAGTCCCCGTCCCCAGACCGCCCGGGAGGTGGCCGCTCAGTGCCGCGGTCCCCAACGCCACCCTTTAAGCAGATTCTCTTCCCTTGAGCACTGTTACTCCTGGCGGTGTTAGAATGTTCTGGGCCCTTCCTGTTCCCCCTCCCGCCAAGACACGGGTGCTGCCTGTAGGGGGCGGGCGGTGGGCGGTGCTGGGGGAGGAGCCCGGGACGGTGACTCAGGGGTCTTCCCCTGACGCCCGCGGTTCAGCACCTGCCGGTCCTATGCCACCCAGATTCCCAACTCGCAGGCCCCCTGCCCCCGCTCCCGCTGGGCGTGGCCTCGCGGTCTCTGGGGGAGGAGCGGGCTGGGGGCGCAGGGGCAGGGATGCACTCACGAGGGCTCGTGGTGGTGGGAACAGACTCAGACCAGCAGACGGAGCGGCTAAGGAGCTGCGGGGCCTCCACGGAGGCTCAGGTGCTGCCCCCCAGCTCCTTCCGCCGCCTCCCCCCGATTCCCTGGACAAGCAGCAAGGCCCCAGGCTGCTGCCCCGTGTGCAGCTGGGCGGGGTGGGCTGGGGGCAGGCACGGGAGGGGCCTCACTGGGGACGGCGTGAGGGACCCGGTCCCTCGGGACCTCAGCTCCGCTCGCCAGCTCCTCCCTGCGCACCCCCCACCCCGGCGGGGCCGCAGCCTGGCCCTACGTCTGCCCGCAGGTGGAGAGCAACTTCGGCAAGTACCCCCAGTTCCTGCTGCAGGCCCTGGTCTACCTGAAGAGCCCACACAGGCCCCTGAAGCTGGCCGCCATGAAGTTCATCGGTGGGCGCTCCCCAGCGGCCCCGCCTCCACTCCACTCACCAAGCTCAGTCCCCCAACCCCTGCAGAGGGCGGGCCAGGGGTGGATGGGGCGGCGCCTGCAGCCGGAGCCTCAGCAGCGGCCCCGCCCCCGCCCCCTACTCCTAGGCCCCCCGCCCCCGCCCCGGCAGCGGCCCCGCCCCCACCCCCTACTCCTAGGCCCCCCGCCCCCGACCCAACCTCAGCAGCGGCCCCGCCCTCACCCCTACCCCCAGGGCCCCCGCCCCCGCCCCAGCAGCGTCCCCGCCTCCACCCCTACCCTCAGGGCCCCCGCCCCCCAGCCTCAGCAGCGGCCCCGCCCCCGTCCCGCAGGGGCCCTGCTGCAGGACTACTTCCCAGAGCTCTGCTTCTACCTGAGAAAGGGCGACCTGCCCGTCATCAAGAGATGTACGTGGGTCCGCCCCCCTCAGCCAGGCCCCGCCTCCCTCAGATTGACCCCGCCTCCCTCAGCCAGCCCCGCCTCCCTCAGCCAAGCCCCGCCCCCATCAGCAGGCGCCCCCCCCACCTCCCTCAGATTGTCCCTGCCTCCCACAACCAGGCCCGCCCCTCAGCCAGGCCCCGCCTCCCTCAGATTGGCCCCGCCTCCCAAGCCAGGCCCGCCCCCTCCGCCAGGCCCAGTCTCCATGACAGGCCCCGCCCCCCTCAGACTGGCTAGGCTGAGCCCCGGTCCTGTGCGCAGACTTGGAGCCGCTGGAGCAGGACCCCGACGCGGCGTGCCGCAGGTTCTACCGGAACTTCGTGGAGGACATCACGGAGCTGTCCCGCAGCGTGACCTGAGCCCGGCCGGCTGCCGAGTGCCTTTTTAGTCTATTAAATGCGGACAGAGTTCCGCTGCCTCCGCTCTCTGCCGGTCCCCGTGGGGTCAGGGCGGGGTGGGGGGCGACAGCCCGGCCAGGGCCCTGTGAGTGCAGGTGCCCCCAGGGCGGGTTTCGGTGTGGCCACCTGCCCGCGCTGGCCCCTGGCCCGCGCTGGGGCCCCGGCCGGCTAGGGTGGGCTGGACCTGCAGAGAGACGCAGTGGACACCCTGTGCTCTTGGGCGTGGGGTTGGCTCTGGCTGCCGGGGGTGTGGGAGGTGGGACCTCCGTCGCAGTGTCCTGGAGGGGCCTCTGCTCCCCTCCCGCCCCAGCAAACGCGAGCGCCCTGCCCTGAGCCTCACAGCTGGGAGCCAAGTGACCCCTGCAGAGACCCAGCAGGCACCATGCAAGAGGAGGGAGGAGGGCAGCTGAGTGAGGACCCCACTAGGCTAGGACTCTGCGCGGGCCTGGGGCAGCAGCCCCGCCAGCCCCTGCGTGCAGCTGGCCAGGCAGCAGTGGTCAGCAAGGTAGCAGCTTCTTTTTTTAAAGATGTATTTATTTGGGCCGGCGCCGTGGCTCACTTGGTTAATCCTCCGTCTGCAGCGCCAGCATCCCATATGGGCGCCGGTTCTGTCCCGGCTGCTCCTCTTCCAGGCCAGCTCTCTGCTGTGGCCCGGGAGTGCAGTGGAGGATGGCCCAGGTCCTTGGGCCCTGCACCCCATGGGAGACCGGGAGGAAGCACCTGGCTCTTGGCTTCGGATCGGCGCAGCGCCGGCCATGGCGGCCATTTGGGGGTAAACCAACGGAAGGAAGACCTTTCTCTCTGTCTCTCTCACTCTCTAACTCTGTCAAAAAAAATTTATTTAAGAGGCAGAGCTACAGAAAGGAGAGAGAGCAAGAGAGGTCTTCCATCCCCTGGTTCTCTCCCCAAATGGCTGCAACGGCCGGAGCTGGGCCAGGGCGAAGCCAGCAGCTGGGAGCTTGTGAGGGGTCTCCCACGCGGCTGGCAGGGGCCCGAGGACTTGGGCGATCTTTGGAAGCTTTGTGTTCCGTGGGCCCCTCCCCACGCACAGGCTGATCCCGGGCTTTCTACTGGACACAGGGACCCGACACACGTGTGGGCGGATCGGGAGGGTCCACACGGGAGCTCAGGGCTGAGGTTTGCAGGCAGTCACAGGACAGAATACGGGCGCTGGTTGAGTCCCGGCTGCTGCACTTCCGATCCAGCTCCCTGCCGAGGCCCCTGGGAGAGTAGTGGAGGATGACCCAAGTGCGTGGGAGACCCAGAGGGAGCGCCTGGCTCCTGGCTTCGGGTGGGCTCATCTCCTCGCTTCGTAACTCTGCCTCTCAAACAAATAGATCAATTTAAAAACAGGCACGGCTCGGATTTCTGGGATTGCCGGAGTCCCGTCTCAGCCCCTGGGTTTGGGCTCTGCCCCTGCTCTGCTCCCTGGAGGCAGCGGCGATGGCTCAGGGACCTGGGTCCCTGCACCCACCTGGGAGACCCGGATTGAGGTCTGGGCTCCTGGCTTTGGCCTGGCCCAGCCCAGGCTGCCGTGGACATCTGGGGAGTGACCCAGTGGATAGAAGATCCCTGTCTCTTCCTTTCAAATAAAAATAAGAGTTGTTTAAAAAGAAAAAAAATTCTATAAAAATATTTGAACAAAAGACAAAACACGGAGAATACACATTTTTTTTTAAACAAAGTGAACTATTCAAGAACAAGGGGACTATTCACCCTCGATGCCCGGGAACGCATGGGAGAGGGGGGGAGGTTGAGCGGAGGGAGCCCGGGCGCGGCTGGACCCCCATAGCGCAGGGCTGGCGGCGCAGAGAGGAGTCCGCGCGCAGTGCAGGCCCCTGGTGCAGAAGACTCCAGGGGAACACACGCCCAGAGCGGCCTGGGGCGCAGGGGCGACGCACACACACGCGGGGAGGAGGGGGTGCGGCCGCGGGAGCAGAGGGCGCCCGAGTGTTCGCCTGCGCCCTGTGCACGCCGTGGGCCCTGTGTGCCCGCGCGCGCCCCGGCCTGGACAGACAGCACCCGGGGAGCGGACTGTGGCTTCCCGGGACCAAGAGCGTCCATCCTTGCGCTCCTGGAGAGGCTGGGTGATGCCCGGAGCCTGGGGTGCCGGCGGGGGCGGGGGCGTGGCCACGAGAGCACGGGGTCGGGGGGGGGGGGGAGCGGGGGGGGGCGAGGTGAGCGTTGCAGAGGCCGCTGGGGGCTGACCACAGATCCGAGCCCCGCGCAGCACGGGGCTCCACCAGCTGCTCTCTCCACCTCCTGGCTCACCCCGTGGTCATTCCTGCACACTGGCCTCGCCATGGGAGCTCCCTCGAGACACCAGCCTGCCAGGCTGTGCCGTCCTGAGCTGTAACCCCTGGAGTGTGAGCTGAAATGACCCCTTTCCTCCCCAGTAGCTGCTCTCGGGCATCCTGCGGGGAGTGCACCTGCTTCCCACGAACCCTGCCCCGGGGGTTCCTGGCAGCTTCTGTCACGGTCACGGTCGCCCACAACGCCCAGCACAGGAGACCCCAGATGGCAAGGACAAGGACATGGCGGGGGCTGGGCCCAGCGGTGGACGCCGTGCCCTGTCCCTGGGTGCTGGGCTCTGCTCCCGGCTCCAGCTCCAGTGGTGACGGCTCAGGGAGTTGGGTCGCGTGGAGGATCTGGGTTGGCTCCTGCCCTGTCGCAGCCATTGTGGCGTTTGGGGAGTGACCTGGGGCATGGGAGCACTGTCCCCCCCGCCCCCAGCCACCCTGCTCTGCTTGTCCCAGGGCTGGGACGCGCTGCTGGGACGTTGGGGACAGGAGGCCACACCCGCATGGGAACAGAGGAAGAGGAGTGGTTGCCGGGGTGAAGGCAGGGTGAGTGCAGGGGCCACCTGAGAGCGTGGGGGACCCAGGTCCCCGAGTGCCCAGTGACCACATGGCCACTCCTCCATCTCGCTCTGAGTGACCGGCACCTCGGTGAGGTGAAACGGAACCCGCGCGCGCCCCAGCGTGAGTCACCGTGCAGAGAATTTCGTGATACACAACTTCGGGGAGCTGTGGCATACTTCTGGCTGCATGTTTTTAATTAAAATAAGCCGTTTCAAGATAAGAAAAGACAGATCAGAGACGCAGATAGAAACAGATGGATCTTTAAAAAATTCTCAGTGGAAAGATTTGCAAAGCCGGTCGAAGGATACAATGCGGCGCGAAGGCATATGTCCTGGTTTCACCGCACCGGCGTTACATAAGCCGTTGGCAGCAGGGGGCTGGGGAGGGGGCACCAAGCTTCCCGTGTGAGCCTTGCGACTTCCTGTCTGCCTAAAATCAGTACAGGATACAAGGGACACCCACAGAAGCACTCCTGGCTGTGCTTCTAGGGTGGGGGCAGATAGACAAGGGCCCGTGTCGCCGGGCCCTTGGTGGTGCAGACCACACGGGGACCTGGGGCTGGAGGCGGGGACGGAGGCCGAGGGCGGAGGTGCCCGGGGCCGCTGGTCAGCCAATGAGCTTCTAGCGGAGCTGCAGGCAGCCCAGGGGTCAGTGTGGTCTCCGGATCAACAGTGGTCGAAGTGGATTAGAAGCAAATGCTTGGGAAATCAGCGCCCGCAGAAGCCCAGAGAGGGCCTTTTCTGGTGTGGCCGAAGCTGGCCCAATGCAGAGCCCCGGACAAGACGGAGAACTTCGCTCGCCCGGACGCCTCGGGTGCGCGCCTGCCCGGGAGGGGCGTCCGCCTGGAGGCTTTGCTTCGGGGCCAACGGCGACGGCAGAAGCCCAAGAGTCGCTTTTCCACGGCAGGCGTTCTCCACACACTTTAAGATTTTATTTATTTATTTGAGAGGTGGAGTTTCAGACAGAGAGAGGAGAGAGAGAGAGAAGAGAGAGAGGAGAGAGAGAGGAGAGGGAGAGAGAGAGAGAGAGGGTCTTCCATCCACTGGTTCACTCCCCAGATGGCCGCAACGGCCGGAGCTGCGCCGATCCGAAGCCAGGAGCCAGGAGCTTCTTCCGGGTCTCCCAAGCAGGGGCCCAAGGACGTGGGCCACCTTCCACTGCTGTCCCGGGCCATAGAGAGAACTGGATCAAAGAGGTGCAGCCGGGACTCGAACTAGTGCCACAGCACCGGCCCCTCCACAGTCTTTTTGATGACCCCGTGCTGTGCGTGGCTTTCAAAAGTCCTGCACCAAAAGTGAGCCCATCATTTAATTCCGTTTTCCACAAGCTTTTCTGAGGTTGCCTGGTACTATCTAATCTGTGTCTGACCAGGTGGATTTCAGTTCACGAGAAAACACCAGGAAGCGTGCGGTCCTCGAACCTGAGGAGCTGGGACTGCCGGGGCTCCCAGCAGGAGAGCAATCCAGGGCCGGAGCAGGAGGCTCCCCACGTCCCGTGCAGTCAGGGCTGACGGTCAGGCAGGTGCACCATCACGGAGCGTACGAGAGAAGGGGGACCCCACCCCCACACAGGGCACCCTGCGTCCACAAGTGCGTGTCGGGGGTGGGGGTCCCCAGTGCACCAAGAAGTCCTACCCCGGACACGGCTGGGTCTGCTGGGCTCAGCGCTGCTCGTCCTAGTGCAGGCCCCAGGGAGGTGCTCTGTCCCCAGGCCTGCCCCCCCAGAAGCCAGGCCCAAGCCACAGGCCGCTGCCCACCTGCTCCTAATCGGGGCTCCCACGGCCCCCTCCTCGGGTTTGCTGATGTCCGTGAGCAGCTCCTAGAATTCAGGGCAAACTTGAGTTTAAGGGACACTGGGGGAGCATCTCAGTTCTTCCCACCTCCCTGTGGTCAGCCGTGTGGACTGTGCTGTAGTCAGCTGTGTGGACTGTGCTGTGGTCAGCCATGTGGACTGTGCTGTGGTCAGCCACGTGGACTGTGCTGTAGTCAGCTGTGTGGACTGTGCTGTGGTCAGCCATGTGGACTGTGCTGTGGTCAGCCATGTGGACTGTGCTGTGGTCAGCTATGTGGAATCTGCTGTGGTCAGCCGTGTGGACTGTGCTGTGGTCAGCTGTGTGGACTGTGCTGTGGTCAGCCATGTGGACTGTGCTGTGGTCAGCCGT